GGCAAAGTCTATTTAATTAAATATCAGTTCTTTATTCACTTTTTAAAAAATTTTAGTTGTAGTTGGACACAATACCTTCATTTTTAAATTTATTTTTATGTGGTGCTGAGGATCGAACCCAGCGCCTAGAACGTGCTAGGGAGCGCTCTACCACTGAGCCACAACCCCAGCCCTCTTTATTCACTTTTACAATATTTAAACAAACACGCTCATCAAGCTGCTAATAGTAGTTCCCTTCGGGAAAGCAGGAGTTGGGATCAAGCGTTTCCATTTGTCCTTGATAAGCTGTGTATTTAAGAAGGCATCAACATTTTTGTAATGTGAGGACCAGTAAAGGACAAATGTGTGCAGTACAGAAGTCATTGTTGTAAGTTTCAACTTGTTGGCCATTTGAGATTTTGAATATTTGTGTCTCTTAACTGAGCAGGGAAAACAGGAGAAATCAAGATACTCTAGGTTTCCAAGTCCTTGTCTCCTCCAGTGGGCCTTACTTGTGACCTCTCTGTACTTCCCTTTACATGGCTAATGTGGCTGGTTATTTTGTATGCAGGGATGCTTATTCTAAGAAATGCAAAAGCTAAGAAGCAAAATTAAAATTATTACATATTCTGAAGAATAGTTGATGATGTTTGCAATGACCTCAAACTACAATAACTCAGGAAAGCTTATCTGAACACTTGAGATGAAAGGTAACCGGGATTTTAGGTTAAAAAACGTATATTTGGAGCCGGGCGTGAGGGCGCATGCCTGTAATCCTGGGGGCTCCAGGGGCTGAGGCAGGAGGATCACAAGTTCAAAGCCAGCCTCGGCAATTTAGTGAGGCCCTAAGAAACTCAGTGAGACCCTATCTCAAAACTAAATATGCAAAAGGAATAGGGATGTGGCTCACCAGTCAAGCACCCCTGGGTTCAATCCCCAGAACCAAAAAAAAGGAATTCAGTTTGCTTTGTATTGATCTCATACCTAGACAGTTTTGATACATTGTCTTATGTGTGTCTAGAGTTATACAGGACATTTTATTCTATGATTTTTGTTCTGGGGCAATTGACCACGGAGGTACATCCCCAGTTCTTTTTATTTTTCTGCTTTGAGACAGGGTCTTGCTAAGTTGATGAGCCTGGTCTCCAACCTGTGATCCTCCTGCCTCAGCTTCCCAAGTCGCTGGGATAACAGGCATGCTTCACCACACCTGGCTATATGTGATATTTTAATTTTTTTAATAATCCTAATGCTTCAATTCCATTTTTCTTTCTTCATTGCCTGCAGGAATCTATGCAGTAGAATTGTGATTGAGTAAACATCTATTTTTACAGCTGAGAAAGGAATTCTTTTGCTTATTTCCTCACTGACCATTACACTTAGGCGTAGGTTTCTTAGGTGCCTAAAGTACACTGAGTGTGTAAATGCCCTAATTGTTCCTTTCCGTGTGTGCAAGCCCTTGAAATGTGAATTTTCAGCTCCTTCCGTCAGAAGATTGAGTCTGAGCCTGGTGTGGTGGCACTTGTGATCCCAGCGACTCAGGAGGCTGAGGCAGGAGGATCATGGGTTGGAAGCCAGCCTCGGCAATTTAGTAAGACCCTAAAGAGAAAATGTCTCAAAATAGAAAACGTAAACAGCACTGGGTATGTAGTCAGTGATAGAGTGCCTCTGAGCTCAACCCTGCATATTGAAGGAAAAGAAATGTGGAGTCTGTCAATGGTGAGCCGATTGTCAACGTAGGCCTCGGGGTCTTGTGTACTTTCATTTCTGCCTTGCAGACTTGCTATCAGGGTATAAATACACTCAGGCGAGGCTCCTTGAGGATGAGATGCATGGGGAGGAGAAACTAGCAGCCTCCTCAGTGAATTTACCCTTAAACATGGAAGAGACAGGATTTGTCAAGCCTCCAACATGGCCCAAAGCCCATGACAGACGCTGGAGAGTCCTTGCAAGACCTGGAAAACAACAGCAGACTTGCAGATTGGTGAGTGATAGTTAAAGTTCTTCTTTTAAACCAAGTTACAAACTAGTTGTGGAGTGGAGTTGAAAAGTAGTTTTTCACACAGCATGACAAGTTGATAACAATAATCTGATTATGGAAATTCCTTTATTTTCATGGCTTCATTAAAACTTATACTGTGAATGCTCTTGTGTTGTGTTTTGTTTTGTGCCAGGAGGAGCACTTAACCACTGAGCCACATCCCCAGCCGTATATTTTGTATTTTATTTAAAGACAGGGTCTCACCGAGTTGCTAAGCACCTCGCCATTACTGAGGCTAGCTTTGAACTCACCATCCTCCTGTCTGGGCCTCCCAAGCTGCTGGGATTACAAGCATGCACCACCGCCCCTGGCTGCTATTCAGATTTACCAAATCTGTTTTTGGTTTTCTGAACCCATTGAGATGACCATATACTTCTCTCCTTTTCTTGGAAAATCAGGGAGTGACAAGTATTCCTTTGACAGGTTATCCTCCCTTGTGCTCATGAGGTGAATACAACCTGGTCATTTTATTTTCTTTTACATAATTCTGAATTCATTTTACTAAGATACTAGAATTTTTGCGCTTACATTCATGAGTGGGTCTCTAATTTTATTTGTACTCACACTCTTCTTTTTAGGGGGAGGGTACCGTGGGTTGAACCCCCAGGGGTGATGAACCACTGAGCCACATCCCTAGACCTTTTTATTTCTTATTTTGAGAGGGTCTCACTAAGTTGCCCAAGCTGGCCTCAAACTTGCTGTCCTACTGCCTCAGCCTACCAAATCACTGGAATTACAGGCAAGTTGATGGGATCACAGGTATGTGCCATCATGCCCGGCTATTTTGTTCTTGTTGTTGTTGTTATTATTTTTTAATTTTTTTTAAAGAGAGAATTTTTTAATATTTATTTTTTAGTTTTTGGTGGACACATCTTTATTTTATTTGTATGTGGTGCTGAGGATCAAACCCAGCGCCCGGCGCAGGCCAGGCAACCGCGCTACGCCTTGAGCCACATCCCCACCCCCTGTTGTTGTTATTTTTAATTTCTTTTTTGTGTGTGTGTACTGGGGATTGTACCCAGGAGCACATCCTCAGCCCTTTTTATTTTTTATTTTGAGATGAGATCTGGCTAAGTTCCTTTGGGCCTTAGTAAGTGGCTAAGGCTGGCTTTGAACTCGTGATCCTCCTGCCTCAGCCTCGAGAGCTGCTGGGATTACAGGCATTTGGCAATGCATCCAGCCCCCATAGACTTTTTCACTTGGTAGTTTGTTTGTCTCATGCAAATTCTTTGATATATGAAAGGAGAGTATTTCATCTTTTATATTTTGTTCTCAGTAGAGGGAGATGAAGTCGTGGTCCAATGTTAAAGCCAACCATAAACAAAAATGAATCAGATCTGAAACTTTTACCTGTTTAAAAACGTATTTTCGGGAGGCTGGGGCTGTAGGTCAGTGGCAGAGCGTTTGCCTAGCATGTGTGGCGCTGGGTTCCATCCTCAGCACCACATATAAATAAACAAATAAAATAAGGGCATTCTGTCCATCTACAACTACAAAAAAAATTTTTTAAAAAACGCCTTCTTATTACCTGTTAAGTAATATTTGTCATTTGTTTCAATGATTTGTTGTTTTCTGAAAAAGCAACAAGAAATGAGAAGAAATATAAACTAAAATGAAATAAAGTCTTTAAAAATAGAGGGCACAAAACTAATAATATGAGAAACTTCCTGTGTTCCAGTGTAAAAAGATGAATTACTTTGAACACGCTTGATCTGAGATTGATTCGTATTTGAAAACATACTGTTCAGGGCTGGGGCTGTGGTTCAGGGGTAGAGCACTTGCCTAGCACGTGTGAAGCACTGGGTTCTATCTTCAGCACCACATACAATTTCATGAATAAAATAAGGGTATTGTGTCCATCTACAACCAAACATATATCATGGTTTTCAATGTGAGGGACTGTATGTCACACAGAGATGAGAGAGATCAAAACGTTCCTCCTAGGGACCCAAACCAGCAGTTGCCTCCCAATTGACATAGACCTAGTGTAACCCAATGAATGGAGAAGGACTTCCTGAGAGCCTGAATACTGGTCATTTCCTTGACCAAACTTTGCACATTCCTCTGAGTTTGCTCTTTGAGGAGACTTAGGTTGGGGCCCTTTCTTGGGTCTGCCTAGCCCAGTTGTAACTAGAATCTTATTGAGTCACTTTAGCAAGGCTCCTCCTACCCTTGACGTCACCTCCTAGTGATTTCCCATGTACTGGCCTCCATCACTGTGCTCCTTGGCTATAATTCGGTCTTCGTGTGTTCAAAGTTAATCCTATCTTTTTCTTTCTCCCTTGTTATTATTATCAGCATTCTGGGGATTGAACTCGGGGCCTGCCTCATGCTGGGCAGGTGATCTAGCA